TAACTTTCGCAACCTTAGCAGCATTGTGATTTTAGCCGTTAACTGATTGTTTTCAGAATAAAACGGGGACTTCTACGTCACGGTAGATTCTGACCCTCGTCAAGTTCTTATCGACTTTGGGATAGGCTTCGTCAGGAACGCCTATTCAATAGTGCTCCGTTTTAAAACTTATCTATGTCGTATCGGTCTCGCCTCTGTATTTCTATTCGTTATTTTGGGCCGATTAGATCACTGCTGATCCAACGTACAAGAGTAGGATTATCGTCCACGGTTGCTTTCCGAACATTTCACAATTTTTTTAGTCTTCCCTTTACACTCCGCTGGCAACAACTGATCCCCATTCCGTTCCTCCTGAAAACCATGCGGACCCCCCCCCTCCCCCACAAAAATCCTTTTTCCCAGGCGATAAAGACCGATCCCTAAAAGATAGTGTTTTACACATGACACCTTGATTAATCACAAGGACACTGCTTTGGCTCAAGGGCGCACTCTCTTGGTACATCTACAGGTACGACGGCAGCGGTTAACCTGGATGGAAAAGAAAAATTAAAACGTAATTTTGTGCAGTCAAGAAATAGCATATCTAATCTAAAGACGATATTTCCACTTTCTTCTCTTCGATACTTACTCAGCAAATTTCTCCAACGGACAGAATTCGCGACAGCCGGGTAGTGTCAGGGTGCGAAGCGGACTTTGACCGAATCGATAAATCACCCGAACGTCCAGTCTGGGCCTGAAAAAAGTTCGCTTCTTTGAATACTTTAGGATCAAGAACTGAGCATAGCACTTTTCATTACAAAGTGTACTAATTTTTCGTTTTAAGCAAACAGTTTTCAAATTATTGGAAAATACTGCTATTCACAAATGGCCTTTTGCAGACTGCACTATTATTTTTTGATATTACACCAGCATCAGTTCTTAAGAATTCAGTGTTCTTCGGTAGGTGAGGAGTGGAGTGAAAAATAAAAAAATGAGAACAACTGCAAATTGAAATTGACATGAGGTGCAAGTTACTGACATATTTATTTCCCACCGAGCTGCATTTTTATGCTGTATACGTTTAATCGCAAAAATAACTGCAATGTACCATTTTTATCCGAATAACTCTGTCTACTGACTTACTTGCCATGCGCCCTCGATTCAAACAGTTCGAGAATGGCAGCGCTGGACTAATCCGGTGAAATTCCGTCGAAAACTTGAAGGGCGCTTAGAAATGCGGAGACTGTGGTGTCATGCTGAAAATTAAGACACCAATTACTTAATTAGTGTCACATCAAGAGCGGCTCGTGCCAGCCGTGAATTACTCAGCGTAGAATGGATCTTGACGAGTTACTTTACCTTTAATTTCATTTACTTACAGCAGAATATAGATAGATTTTACGAACAGGCTCATCTGTAACCATCTGGG